CTGATACATATTTATGGCCATGTATAGATTTGTACCCCTTTCTTGTGAGGTAAAATTTTTCGGTGAGCCATCATGTGCTTTAGACAAATTAGGATGTGTCATGAGTAAAAAAATTTTGCAGAACACTGCAGGATTACAGATCACCAAGCAATATAAACCACATTTCACCTGTGTTCTCATATGAAGAGGGGCATCATCTTCGGTGAGCAGACGATGGTACAAGGTCTTTAGCTCAAGCCCAATCATGAAATCGTAGTGACGGATGCACAGAGAACCGATTGCTTTCAATGTGAACAGCTGAATGTCCTCATTAGGCTGCTGTACAAAGTATGCCAACGTGTCACAAACTTGGTCCTTGATGTCATCCTTCAAAAAGAGAGCACACTTATAAATTTATAACTGATATAGAGACACACAACAGGCTACAGAAAAAATCAGAATACTCAAAAAATACATTTAAGAGAATGCAATACCAAACACCACATGAGTCACACACATTTTTTTTTCCAAAGATTCATGACAAAAAATTTGAAAGCATGATCTACACAAGGAATTACAAAAGTGGTAAATCACGGAAAATACGACTGCATATTCCACGTAACTGAACAAACGCGCGGACCACATGCCATGACACAAGGAAGTTCTGTAAACATTTACCCAAATAACACAATTTTCATTAAAAATGCAGACTATATCCGAAAGCACCAACGACTCTCTAGTGGCAAACCCTTGTCAGTGATAATAATACTTATAGTATGAGACTCCAAATGTGGTAACATTATAAGTGTACACTCACTTCCAATCCCTGTATAACATCTTTGTCGGTGAAATCAAAGTGCCTCAACAGAAGCCCAACTGTGAAAAGAGCTCTTCGGAAAAATGGACGGCTTTTAACCAGCACAGGGAGTGTAGGGTCCTTCTCATAATCCCTTCTGTAGTCCCTTAAAAAGCCTGAAATATAAAAATGTCAGCACATCATTGCTCATCAGTGTACACCAAAAGAGTCTTTCATATGGGCAAGAACTTACCAACTTCTCTCATTTACAGTTTACACAATTT